TTTATCTGGATCTTTTGTATAAACCATGTTTCAATCATTAATTAGATTATGTTTTTAATTTGTTATTTGTTGTAGATATGAGCTAAAAACTCATAACTTCTTTTTAGGATAGATGATTTTGTGATTATGGTTTGATTTTATGGTAGGATTAATTTAATATTGGTGATTTTTTTGATTCTAGCTTGTTAAAGAACCTTATGTGTGATTGAAAACTATTTTTCTGTTATTAAGAAGTTAATTAAGTTGTATGAACATCTCTTAATTGCTACCTCGTATAATTTATGTGACCACTTTGTTATATGACTAGGATTAACGACTGTGAAACTAGAATTAATAGAAAAATAGGTAAAATCATGTGTGAGCTTGTGTGATGACCATCAACAAAAGGTTAACTAAAGGACCAAATTAGTTAACCATTACAAGTCTAAATTAACTCGAATAAATAACCTAGTGAATTGAATTAGATTAGACAACTGGCGACTGTTTTAGTTAGTTTGTTCTCTAAGGATTAGTGCAGCGAACGTGAATCTAATCACTTGAATCGGTAGCCAATAGAAGAATTAAACCATTACACTATTACCATAATATCAACCATAGGATCAATTGAGTTGAACTAAACAGAAGTTCCCTTCGTTATTGAATTTAGTTGAATCTTTGCTTATCTAGTTTTTAGTTAAGTAGTCTAAGTATTAGTTGGTAAGTTTATAGTCTTGCAAAACTAGAGAAACCCCCTTTCTATTACTTGTTTTATTTAGATAATATTAGCATTTATTTTAATTGTTTACCGTTCCCTGTGTTCGATACCCTACTTGCTTGAACTATATTACTAATCGATAGGTACACTGCCTTTCGTGTGTTTATTTTGTGTCTAAGTTAGTAGGATTAAAACTAGTTGGTTTTTACACACATCAATAAGAGTCGATGGAGATCAGAGGCGGCTAAGGTTGAGAGCCATGCTCTGATACCCTAAAAGTGTTCTATATCCCCCTTCCCCGTGTACAATGATCGACAACCCCATTATAAGGGGAAAACAATGCCTTCATCAAGGCTACAAATTAGAAAGATACAATATATATTATAACTATAACGTCTAATAGATATGTCAAAACATGTGATTCACCAAGTAGCCTTCAACATGCTAACCAACTAGATCTTAAGGAGAAACTACATCTCGAAGAGGAGAACATTGATACTATACAATTCCATGAGCTTAACCTACAGTCATCTCCACAAATGCAAAGCCCATAAGAATTAGACATCGCCTATTACGTAACACCAATAGGCCTCATTGGTTCCTTTCCTAAGACCAAGTCACCACCATGTATATGTTCATACACATGAAGAGAAAAGAGAATTCAAGGCAGAGATTTGGGGATTAATCCAACAACTACTATGATCACTTTTATTATACAAATTCTTGTTTAGTTGATTAGTTGGTTAATTTTTATCTCCTATGTATTTGTATTTGACTTGAGGAATAAAAATTATCAAAAAATTGCTCCAATCTATGTCTCGAAATTAACCATCTCGAAAAGAGTCGCTATCATATAAGGTGTTGTTTGATTTTTGTTTGCAAATCTTCTTGGCATCTTCTGTCTGCGCCGCGTAGACCACGCGCAGACATTAAACTTCGCAGATTGTTTTTTTTAAGACTGCAGACCTAAAAAGGTCTGCACGTCCTCTTCTTGGCGCAGTCTTCGAAACTCTTCAGACATCTTTTAGTCTAAAATAACATATATATCTTTGTTTTTTTTAACTTAGATTTATTCCAACTTTATCTATGAAAACAATTTGGAAAAAAATTTACAATATTTAAAGAAAAAAAGATTCGAAGACACAATCATGACCTTTGTGGCAAAACTATAAATAAAGATTAATTACAATAGTTGTTTATACAATTTGGAAAAAATTCGTAATACTATGTATATTTTATGTATCAAATTTTATTAACCATTATTTAATGCAATAACGTTCATTTCTTGGGAAAAATATTTATGGCCAACTTTTAATTGATTTAATTGAAAAACTAAAATAATTTTTTTTAAAATTTTCATTTAAAATGAAAGTTTATTTCCATCCGTTTTATAGATTAAATTCTTTTATCCCTAGTTACAATATTTAGATAGAACTTTACGACCAAAGTTTATTGGGTTTTATCATATATATATATATATATATATATATATATATATATATATATATATATATATATATATATATAAATAAGATTGTTTGTTTTTTAACATCTGCAAACTATTAGAATAAACTAAAATCTAATTAAACTGATTATATATATATATATATATATATATATATATATATATATATATATAATTATTTGTTTTTTAACATCTGCAAACTACTAGAATAAACTAAAATATAATTAAACTGATTATATATATATATATATATATATATATATATATATATATATATATAATCAGTTTAATTAGATTTTAGTTTATTCTAATAGTTTACAGATGTTAAAAAACAAACAATTTTTTTCTTTCAGATTGTAAACGTTTGATCTACCTTTTCTACGGTAGTGCTATGCAGATGTGGTCAGCAGACTGCATATATTTTGTTTAAAAAAAACAAACATGACCTAAAATTTATACACATATCATCTATATCTATATACATTAACAAATATAGGTACACGTAATTTGACCAAAAATAATAATAATAAGATCATGCATCAAGTCGCGGTTTAATTCCTTTTTATTGAATGTAGTCATATTTTAAGAAAAAGAATTATCATCATAAAAAAGAGATACTCAATTATTCATTAGTGTTCACCTTATGTAACTTTTATCATTAAAAAACTTCTACTTTTTAAAGATTGCCATCGTAAAATGATTTAAGGTTTTAAACAAAGGCGTCCATAAAAAGTTACATTTGGAAATGCATTCGTCAACAAAGTAAACAAATACTCATAAAAAGTTAATTCGTCCATCGCCGCCATTAATGCAGTGTTGCACCTTGCTCGCTCCTCGCAACCACCTCAGACCAATCGGGCAACTTCACACCTTGTTTCCTGATTGTTGAAGTTCTGGTTCACTTTTTTAAGAAGAAGAAATGATTTGGAAACAACAACGGTCAGTGGTGGTGTTCAATGATGGTTCGCCCTTTAAAGGGTCGCCGGAGAAGAGGGTAGGAGATGAGTAGTAGGGTGGTTTTGGGAACGGTGTCGTGGTGGTTTTATTCTTGGCCGCAATAGTGTGGTGGCAGTTCTTAGGCGCCACGAGATTAAGAAAGAAATGGAATTAGGGTAGATCGGTTATATTTTCAGCTTTTAAAATGTTAATTTAAATTTGAAAATGGAAATAAAATTAATAAAAAAATAAAACTAAATAAACCGTAATTTTAGATCAATTACTCAAATAAATTAAATTATAGGAAACCAAGGAGACAGTGTTTACAGAAAAGACAAATATTTTTCTATTTTTTATTTTATTATTTTCTTATATATCTAAGATTGTAATCTATATTATATTTAATAAAATTAATAATTTTTTATTACATTTGTTATCATCTAAAAATAGTCTAAAAGTGATAGAAAAATAATAAGTTCAAAAAAAAAGTATTTATGAACCAAAACATATACGTTTTGATAATTCTTCTTACCAATGGAAGTTTGACAAACCATCAATCATTTAATTTTGTCTTCTAACTAAAATATAAGTGGTATGGGTAAAGATGGATCACTGATTGGCATATGTATTAATCTGTTTAGATTGGCCAGATGACTTATGTATTAATCTGTTTAGATTGACTAGGTGACTCATGTAATATTTAAAAATTAAATATTATGTTAATTAAAACTTAAATTTTCAAAATCACATAACAAAAAATTACATCACTTTGTAAAATTGTTGTCCAAAACTTCTTTCGGTACCTCTCATGGACAACATATAGACATTGTTGAGTAATTTTTTTTTTATAGTAAATCTAATTTATTCTTAAACTATTTTTTAATTCCATTTATGTTCATAAGACTTGAAGAAAAAAAAACATCTATCGCTAGTCTAGAAACTATTTAACGAACATAGTACAAATGTGTTTCACAAATTCAATGTGAATTTGTGATGCGTTATCTTGGTTTTATACTTCTATTCAGTATGCCATACAGTGTGGGGTAACAATTCCATAGTATACAGTGAAAAATATATGTTCACACTATAAAGTTATTTTAACTGTATTTCCGAAACAAACATAATCACGTGAGACATTTTTCAATGTCCATTCTCATCACTCATGTTGTCGTGTGATTAAGAATTTTCCAAATCTTTGATTATTTTCTAACAAAAGCTTAACAACTTGTGCTAGAGTTACTATTTTCTCTATATTATATTATTATAACCCGAAATGATTGATTAAAATTAATATCATCTACGTAAACACAATTATTTATATAACAATTTTTCCCATCAACTAAACTGGACACGTGCAAACTTCGTGGGCCAACTTATGGCCCAATCCAATCACAACCTTCCGATTCCGACGTTCCGAGTTCCGGCCCTAAACTAAAACCACGGTGGAGAAAAGCCGATTACGGCGTTAATAGTCATCGACAAAAGGCCAAAATTCAATTATTGTTGCTTCTTCCAGGAAGGTTCATGTCATCCGTCACGTCGTCAACACCGTCGGCTTGCTTTCTCCGCCGTACCGGAACGAATAGCTTATCAAACACGTCGTCTATTCACTTAACTTCAAACTTCCGACCCCACCAACCACCACTATTGACAATCTTGACTTAAAAAATAAATACTAATCACAAAAGTTGACCCGTAGACTTAGCCCACGTTCACTCCTATGGTTCACTTGACCTGGCTTGACTCGCTTCCACAAAACCCAACTCGCCATTCTTTATATACTTCTCACTTCTCACCCACATAGTTTCCATAAGCATATTCTTCTTCTCTTTTTGAAGCTTCAAAGTCTGCAACTTTTCTTGGATTCTCACACAGATCCTTCGATTCCAAGACAAAAACACCAACATGAAGGTATGTTTATGAGTTTTTTCCTTTCCAACCATCATGGATCGCTTTCGATATCAAAATTGTGATAAAATTTTGTGTGTTTCTTGAATTTATTGCAGAAAGTTGTGTTGAAATTGGACTTCTTGGATGAGAAAACCAAACAAAAGGCTATGAAAAACGTCTCCAGTCTCTCAGGTATGTTGTAATTTGTAAATCCGAAGCACACCCATGTTGTAATTCGTGATAAAGATTCAGACTTTGATATGATTGGGTGAAATTGAAAACAGGGGTGGATTCGATAGCAATGGACATGAAAGACAAGAAGTTGACTGTAACAGGGGATGTAGATCCGGTGACAATTGTGTCAAAACTGAGGAAGATTTGTCATACGGAGATAGTTTCAGTTGGGCCGGCGAAGGAACCGGAGAAGAAGAAGGACGACGGCGGGGCTGCCGGCGGCGGTGACAAGAAGAAAGAAGACGAAAAAAAGAAAGCAGATGATAAGAAGAAAGAAGATGAAAAGAAGAAACATGAAGAAGCTTTGAAATTAGCTTATGCTGCTGCATATCATCAACAGCCATATCCTTATTACAATTATCAACAACAGCAGCAACAACCATATTACTATAATCATCCACCTACACCATACTATTCTAAAGTTGTTCAAGATGAAACCCCCAATTGTGTTATTTGCTAATCAAGCAATCAACACATGTTCATAATCATAATCATATCTCATCTGCTGCTGAAATCAAGAAACCAGATCTTGGGGAGGTTGTTGATGGATTGGAGTGAGAAATTTCCAGTTTTTTTTTTTTTTTTAATTAATGTAAATCATTTCTTAATTATAGTTATATCGGGTTTAAGAGGGTGTCATTAAGATAAATTATCTTGCCAGATCAGGAATCTCTAAATCCAGAGTAGCCATACAATAGTGAGTTGTGCAATTATGCATTGGGAGTTGTATGTTATTCTAGATATAGTATTTTTGATTCTGTGGAAAATATTTTACCTTTTTGGTTTTGAGTTAGAGGTTAGGATCTAGTGAGGAAGGAGGTATATGTAAGTGGTGGGGTTATGTTTGTTATGTAGTGATCCTGTTCTTTTAGCCATCATAATCTTGAAAAGGAAACAAACATTATTGTTTTAAAGTTTTGTAACACAATAGATATCATAATTTCAATAAATTATGTACATATAAGCATATATCATATCTCTTTCTTTTATGTAATGGAACTCGTAGTAACATATTTCATACAAATAAGTTATGTTATATGTTAATATCGTAATATTCTTATTGGAATTTCGTGAAGTTAACATATAGCGTTTAAATGTTTTTAAAATGATTCGGCAAGGTTCTAGTATATCATTAGTTGTTGTCATGTTGGTTTAAGTAAATACTTATTTTGGTTTTGTTAGTTGTCACTATATGGTTTTGCCGGCATAAACAAGGCTGCTATCTTTTTTTTTTTTTTTTTTTTTTTTTTTTTTTTAATTAATTAATTATTTTTAAATATAGATTCCACATAAAACAATAGCAGTCTTATTGGAGTCTTGACGACACTGTATTTGTATTTAGTATTTATCATTATCGCGATCTTATCGTTTGTTAGTAGATAATAAAACACCTCATTAATCAATGGATTTTCGTTTACTAATTCACACATATCGTATTTAATAAACAACATTTGATTTATTTGAGAAGAAAATCATTGCACGTTTATGGAATCTATGATGCCACATGTTATTTCCAAATGTATAATGCCAACGATCATAAGATTTAATACTTAAAAGCATAACTTAAAAAACCTATGTCACGTATTTATTTATGATGATGTCATTTTCAAAGTCCGAAAACGATGTTTTAGAGATAGATTCGACACACACACACACAATATATATATATATATATATATATATATATATATATATATATATATATATATATATATATATATATATATATATATATATATATATATATATATGGGAAAAGTGAATATACCCTTAAGGGTATATAAACTTAGGTACCCTAATCCACCATAATACGTCATTTTGTTTGATATATTCATTATAATGTTCTTAAACATCAACCACTAACTGAATTACTTTCAACATTTCCAAAATTTCACTACTATCTTCCTCTTACATCACATATTTTTGTCGAACACTATTAGGCTATATTATTATAGTTGAAAATGAAAATTATGTAAGAGGACTATAAATGTGAAATTTATAAAAATCTTCGAAGTGAATCAAGTTAGAAGTTAAATTATAAGAACATTAGAGAATTACAATGTATATATATGATACAAAACGACGTAGTATAGTGAGTTTGGGTACCTAAGCTTATATACCCTTAAGGGTATATTCACTTTTCCCTATATATATATATATATATATATATATATATATATATATATATATATATATATATATATATATATATATATATATATAATAGAGAACCATTATTAACCAATGAACCAATACAAAGAAATTTGAAGCGATCAACAACAAAAAGAAAGGTTGTAGACTTTTACAATGCACGCACATGCACGGATTATAACAAAACCAACTTCTTTTTTTTTTTTCCATTTAAATTTATTTTAGGCAATGTTTTTTATCGGAAAAAAAAAAAAAAACGAGGATACCGTTGTTTAGGATTTTTATCCCCTTTCCACTGAGATCAATGATGATATATAAAAAAAGAAAATTTTTTTCCGAAAAAAACATACTTCATTTTCTTTGTTGAAAAGTTAAGATTTATTTTTTTATAGAAAAAAATTAATAAATATACCAAAATTCATGTTTTTTTGTAATTTTTAAACATAAATTCATATTCATATAAAAAAAAACATTATTTCAGTTCAGATTCACATTGTGAACCTGTTCAGATTCATATTGTGAGCATGTTCAAATTCACATTGTGAACCTTCTCATATTCACAATGTGCATAATAGTAAGTAAGTTTCACAGTGTGAATATGAAATGATTGAGCTTTTTCATATTGTAAATGTTGAAAATTGAAATATTTACAGTTTAAATTCACAGTGTGAATCTACACTATTCGAGTTTATTTATTTATTTATAATAATAATTCTGAGTTGATGTTTATTAATAGAGTACAAAAATTAATATTTTTTTGTATAATTAGTTTTTTTTATAAAAATAAACTTAAATATTGAAAAACCTAACAAAATAAAGTGTTTTTTTTTTTTTTTTTTTCCTAAGTTCATTTTATATATATCAACATCATGGTTCTAAGGTGTGGTGTAGCCGTTACGAAAATGTCCAAGGCGGGTTTGTGAAGCGTGACACCCAACTAACATGTCAAGGCGCACCTTATCGCGTTATGGAACGAGTTTTTTCAAACGGGTTTTTTGTTTTTTTTTATCGGGCCTAAAATAAATGAGCTTTTGTTAATTTTTTCCTATTAGATATATTAATATAACACTTCTAAAAACTTCATAAATTTGATAAAATTCAATAATTATATGATTTATATCTTTTAATTTATATCTTTTAATGTATATAATATAGTCACGCCTAGAAATTCTAAGAACCATTTTTTAAAATTTTCCATTAAAGACATTTTGAAGAAATCAAACATTAATATTATATTAAGCAAACTTTTTCATTACTTAATTTGCAATTAGTTGCCAATTGCCGTTGGACAATCGTCGGCCCACCATCGGACTGCCATCGGGCATTCGTCGTACTAACAACAAATTCAACGATATTTTTCTAGTTGTATTTACAATTTAATAAAAAAAATATAACTAAAATTTCTCTAGTAATGCTTTTAAACACACGCATTTACATTTTTAGTGCTAAATATATAAAATTTAATAAAAAATAGAATTATTTATTGACCAATTCAATTTCTGTCATCTAAATTGTAGACCTCTTTAAAAAATCTATTATTTATAAGATATATTCATAGTTCAAAAGTACAATATTCACAATTTAATAAACATACTAATTCATTAATTGAAAATCTATTAATTTCATGCAACACATTCATTTATATTTTCTCACAAAATTTATATAAAATACACGACTTAATACAGTCTATTCAAAGTTTAATACATAAATTCACAGCTTAATACAATCAATTATAAACTAATTCGAATATTCAAAGAATTCAAACTCAAACAATATCATCATCACCGCCACCATTCAAAGTTTAATACATAAATTCACAACTTAATATAATCTATAGCTTAGTGCTTGTTTCAAAGTTTATCTACACAAATATCCACAATTTAAATTTTACATACTCTATTCAAAATTAGATAAAAGTATATATGTGTATAACATTTCTTTCATCTCATGTTTCAAAAACAAACATATTCATAGAAAAATCATAGTTTAATATAGTTAATTCATAGCTTAGTACGGTCAATTTACAGTTTAATATCGTCAATTTACAAATTAATATAGTGAATTAACAGGTCAATACAGTCATTTCATAGTTTAGTACACAAAGTTCACAACTAAATATAATAAATGCATAGTTTAATACGTAAAAATTATACATTTATAACTATATTCTCAACTTAAAACTTATATTTATACATTTAGATCTGATGCGTAGTGTTTTTTCAAAGTTTATTTACACAATATTCGCAGTTTAAATTTTACATGCTTTATTTAAAATTAGAGAAAATCATATTTTTGTATAATGCTTTTTTCATATAATATTTGAGAAGCAAACACAAAATTCATAAAAAATCACATCTTAATACAGTCAATTTACAATTTAATACAATTAATCCACAACTTAATACAATCAACTCATATTTTAATACCGTCAATTCACAAGTTAATACAACCAATTTACAGGTTAATACTGTGAATTCATAGTTTAGTACACAAAGTTCACAACTAAATATAATAAATGCACAATTTAATACACAATTTCATTTACAACCATATTCTTAACTTAAAACTTACATTTATATCTTTAGATATGGAGCGTAGTGTTTTTTCAATGTTTATTTACACAATATCCGCACTTTAAATTTTACATACTTTATTCAAAATTAGAGAAAATCGTATTTTTGTATAATGCTTCTTTATTTTAATATTTCAGAAGCAAACACAAAATTCATAAAAAAAATCACATTTTAATATAGTCAGTTTACAATTTAATATAATTAATTCACAGATTAACATGATCAATTCTCAATTTAATAAACAAAATTTACAACTTAATACAACAAATTCATAGTTTAATATACAAAATATTATACATTCACATCATAACATATTTTTTCTTTACAGTATCCTAATAGGCCAAAAGCATAATCATAAATAAATAAATATGGTGTAAATATATTTTATATATCTTACTTAATCTTCAACACTAAGATTAGATACAATTACTTGGTCTATAAAATAAAAATTATTTGAATCTTTATTAACTAATTTATCTGTGAAAATAAATCCAAATTATATTACAATAATCGCCTATTATTTTAATTAATACATCACCGATTATTTAAATTAATTAGCTAAAAAGTTAAATGAATCCATTTACAAGCACTTACATGTAAGTGACTCCATAAATTGTTTTTAAATTAGGATTATTTATGTTAGTCTGACTCATCAATAACCACAATAAGTCCATTTTGATACATAAAGTGTAACCTAAATTCAAGAAGTCAAAACAGGTTAATGTGTTACCTCCTTTGCGTGTCCTTTGCGTTGATTTTCAACTACCTATACAACATTTCCGGCGACTGAATTACATCCACCACCACCACCTTTGTTCTCTTTTTCTCGAA